AACATAGGATTACATAGAACTGACGTGCATTATCTTGGTTGCTAATTAATCAGGCGGTAGCTGCTAGCGACCGCACCTCGAAGATAAATCCGGACTTTGACTGACCCTAGGGTCCTGTGGAACATACTGGTCAGTGATCAGCTCAGATTACGTTTCTGTGTTAATGTTTTTCTTTTTTTTTTGTATCGTCATTTGGTGTTTTTATTTTCTTGAAAGTACACTCTTGGAATTGAGTGTGAGTCCATATTGTGACAAAGCACATGGTGTACCTACTTCGGCGGTCAACAAAGAGCGACTAGAGAATTATGATGCTCAGAGACAGAGCTATACGTGGGAGCAAGATCTGTGCAGGTACAATGAACATGCGAAACGTCATGCGTTACAACTGTGCATGTTGCGTTATCGATGAGATTTTTTTTTTTTTTTTTTTGTGGGAACGTTATATTTAGTTTTAGAATAGCTTATGCCAAAGCTTTGAGTACGTAAAAAAATTGCGTCCTCGCCACAGCGCATGCGCCGATCTTAGGTTCGTGCTATTTCTTTGGATACTCAAAATTTTGTGTTCGCTATTTTTTTAAAGGCGTTCCGTAGATAGCAGTGATAAGCTCATCGCCTCCATGAAACTAAGTTCTAGAGCGCAGAAATGGGCACCTGACACGCTCAGTACGAAGTGTAGGAGCAAGCAGTGTCTACAGTCGACAGCTTTGTGCATGAAAATCGGAAAAACCAGCTATATCCGATATATGTGATGCCGTTCGTACCTAACATATTCGGGGACATAATTATTACAGGTGCACATAATGAGAGGTCGAGACGGTGTAGCCCGCCCAGTTTCGCTGCTTCATTAATTTTGATCGTTGCCCGCATATGCTGTATATTCTATCCCCGTGGGGAAGTCGTAACAACTAGACTTTTCGTAGGATAATATAGATATCAGAAGCTCGCGTTGTAACCTCGAAGCATGCTTTGAAATTCCCGCCAGTAGCGGTACCAAGCTTTCAAGTAATGCTTTTTAGAACACCCTCGTCATTCATTAATTTATAACCACAGTTACACAGCCCATACGCATGCAAACACGCCGAGGTGCACCACTCGCAGTAGCGCAAACACTTTCACCTCCTCGCGCACCAACAAGCACCCTCAAGGATCCTCTCAACACTCGAAAATTGTCTTGGAGTCGCTTCTCAACTTTGTTTGGGCCGTTGAGATTCGTAACCACTTATCACTGCCCGCTGCCGGCACTCCGCGGCGGGCAGTCAAGCGGAGTGCCAGCAGCGGTTATAACGTTCCTGTTTTTGATTGTCACACGCATCGGAGCCAAGGACCCCTCAGGGCCAACCACAAGCTGTATCCACGATAGCCGGCGGCACTTTCATCGCAGCCGTAGCTACGCAGTGAATGGGCCGCGGTCAATCAATGACGAAGCCACGGAGCAGCATCCGAGAGACACCAAAGCATCGAATATTAGCGTATTCGAAATGTGGAAGCAGCCCAGTCTACAGCGGAGTGCCCGCAGCGGTCATGACGTTCCTGTTTTTGACCCTCAGACTGGTGTAGGTCCTCGCTTGACATTTTGTTTGTACCTGACTCTCCACTGCACTTTCTATTCCTATTGTTGTAAACCATGCCTTTGCAAGAAGAACAAAATGATTGTTTAGCGTGCTGGAAAGGACTAGCACCAAGGAACCAATCTCTGGAACGCTCAAAGTGTAAGCATTTCTATCATGTACGAAAGTGCAAAAGTTAACAAAACTGAGAAAAAATATAATATTGAGGATAGATTGTCGTGGTAGTGTACAGCCTGTACAGTAGATGACCAACAGCAATCACCCTTAGACGACAGTAAGATCAGCCTGCGAAACCGAAGAGCAACGATAAACAGCTATGCTGTCGCGACTACTAGAGACAAGCCAAACGTTGATAGAAGTTTTGAGAAGAATGGACAAGATCGAAAGAAACTGAATCTGCAATCGATCAAGTATGACACAATCAGTGAGAAACTAGATATGCAAGAAAAAATCACCAGAGCCATAGAGCACACAGCAGATATGCTTTCGAAGCAATACAATTATTTGCTGAAAAGGACGGACTCGTTGATATCTGTCACGAACGAGTTAAAAAAGAAAACAAGCGAGATAAAAGCACTGAAAAAATAAGAGTGCAAGAATTAAAAAATATATCTAGAATGGGTTACAAAACGCAGAGCAATATGTTTGAATGAAGAAAATTAAAATTTGTGGAATCGCTCAGGAAGATCGGGAGGACTTGTCAGCGGACGTGAAGGATCTAGAAACCAAGCTAAACCTTCCTCTGCCTCTGCCTGATAAGATTGAATCTATGCAGAAAATTAAAACGAGGGAAGGCCCCCTCTGATCATCGTGCGCTTCAATGACAAGCAAGAAAAAGACCGCCGGTCAACGACCGTATCACACCGAAGGCGCATCATATTTTTGTCAACAAAAGTCTAACCAAGCTTCAGCAATTTTTATTTTGGAGCGCAAAGAATTTGCAAGTTCACATGGTTAAAAGTATGTATTGATGAGCGAAGGAAAAAGTTTTATACAGAAAGAGAGAAGGGGCAGCTGCGGTACGTGTCGATGTGCTTCTGGACCCACCAAAACCATCTTAATCTTAACTAGCCTATTTTCTTGCATTCCAAGGAATGCAGGGAGTGTCGTTACTTCCCGCTGCCACACGCCTCAAAAACAAAGTGTTTAGGTATGTACTTTGACGAGTATCTATCCTGGAACCTACATGTGGATTACTTACTCAAGCATCCGGGAATAATTTCCTATCTTTATAGATTACGAAGCTGCGCAAACATCGGTCTAAGGCGAGTGATCTACCATATGTTAGGCGAGTCAAAACTAAGATAAGGAATTGCAATTTACGCATTATGCTGAAATTACAAAAAACAAAAAAATTAAAAGGTCAATAAAAAAGATGATAAGAAATTTAACCTACGGCAGTCAACTTGAACACCTTACATTCGAAGAACAGCTCACGGAACTCAATCTGTGTAAGGTTGGTGACCTCCGCAGCTTCGTGGTTTTAACGAGGTGTTACTTTTTGTATCATTTGAAAACAAAATGAACCACACAAAAACAACTGAGGCTCCACGGAAAAAATTTACATTCCAAGAACATGTACGAATTATGGGAAGAGGCTGAGAAAATATCGTGCACCGAGCTATTTGAACGAGCTTCCTGTTGATTTGCCAGATCTCGTCCACATCATCGGTAAAAGGCAAAAAAAAAGTAACGAAATCCGTTACTCTTTACATGCAAATAAACGAACGCGTCACCGTCCTACGTTACCTTAAAATAAAAAGAACGCGTTAGCGATAAAAAATAACGCGCGTTACTTTTATTGCTTTTTCATTGTGAATTAGTACGTTTCACTGTTTTTCAGGCAAAATGTATGCATAGACGCCATATTTCAAGGAACATTATGATAATGCAGAGACTGAACATAATTACTTTATCTTTCTTTCCAATTTCACCTCATAAATAATAAATTTCACCTTTACAGTTTCACCTGACGCCCACTAAGGCAGACTAGCTTCCGGCTGTATAAACATACACAAAACATTTTTTTTGCACCTAAATACTCACAAAAAAAAAAATAACACGCAAATAAAACCTAAAATAACTCAAAAATTCATATAGCTTGGCGCTTAGAAGCACGAAAAAGTTGAAGTGTAATTTTTTAAGTCTTGGGAAAAAGAAGTAATGAGTAAGGTATATATGGTTACACGTTGCTGGAAATAAATAACGTAAGTACGTTACACTTTACTGTTTTGAAAAAGTAACGATTAGGTTACCACTTTATTGAAATAATAACGCGCTGCCGGTAACGCCGTTAATTGAAGCGCGTTATCGTCAACGCTGCTAGAAAGAAAAATAGGCACGATGCATTGTTTTTAGCCGAACGTCTCCTACCTAATTTCGGAGTCCATATAATTATATATGAATGGCGTTACTACTGTCTTCTTGCTTGCAATGGTTTCTTCGCATGGCTTTTCTTGGACTGCATTTAAAAGTGTTCTTTGCGCCAAAGTTTTACTGTTTTATACTTTTTTTTTTCATTTTTGTTGGCGATGTAGTTCTGCAGTATGTGGAAAAGTTAGCCTAAATGCCATAGAAATGTATGTTTTCTATGTGGGTAATACTGAAGGATATTCCATTATATCCGTTTTTATCTTAAAAGAGTTGGGTAATATGACAGAAGGAAATTTTGGCTATAAAAATGCAAGTTATATATGTCTAATAGTTAAGGGCATTTCATTACTTCTGTTTTTTCAGCGTGTTTTTTTATTATTACAAAAGAAATTTCGCAATCATTACAGAAGGTAAAAAAAAGAAAACAGTTTTGCATGAAAAGAGACTGGTCGACATATTCACGTTTTTTGTGTTTTTTGTATTTGTGTGTGTGTGCGAAGCGTTTTTGTTCACATTTACTGCGTGTTCGCACACACAAGCACGCAAGTGCATATGTGACGCAGAAGAAAATGTACGAGATTGATTTCGTGCAGACAAACTATTATTAATAATATTATTCTTATTATTACTATTGCTACTACTATTACTATTATTATTATTATGTGGCGTACTCATCATGCGGACACTGTGCGACAATGTGAGCGCGAACACGACATCGGCGCTTTTTCATATTTTTCTCTCTAGACGGTATTTGCGAGCACAAAACACTACCGAGTAGTGTATCCCTTGAAATTAGTACGTCCCAAAACACTCCTAGCTTTTCGACAGCCTTTCGATTCTAAAAAAAAAAAAAAAAAATCTGAAAAAGAAAGAATAAAAGAAAACGGTCATCATTTCTCTTTTTTTTACTTTAACAGTGTTGCGCCCCCCCAACACATTTCTTTTTTTCCGGAGAAGATTTGACGTCAGGAACCGTGTCGTCGCCTACTCACCCATTGAAGACACATTCGACCACAACATACACATTAAAGGGTACACCGTCGGTATGTCGCCACTCACAGTGCACTTCGAGCTTCCAGCCGTCTTCGATGGCGCTTCCGGCGATCAGCGGGTTCTCGGCGCGACAGGACAGGTGCTTGCCGGAGTCCTCGCTGACGGGCACGAAGCTGAGCGCACTGGTGCCGTTCAGCTGGGTGGCGTTCATGCGGCTGCCGGCCTTCCACCACTCCATGGCCGCAGGGGGACGGGACCCCGTGGCGCGACAGGTGAGCGTCACCGCCTTGCCCGCCGACAGGGGGCGCGGCTCGCCCTCGATCCACACCGACAGGGGACGGACTGCGAGGAACACCCCGGGGGACACCTGGTTACGAGCCACGAAGACCCAGAGTCACCGGGTCTTGACACCACACACCCAGAGCCGCACACTAAGCTTAGGCGGCGGAACAATTTTTGTGCTTTGCGCAAATACCGCTCAAGATGAATCCCTGGAGGTTTCAACCTATAAAGCACGCGTTAGTGTTTTTCCCCACGCGGTGGTAGTCAGGAAAAAAAAAATTGGAGAAAAACAACAAAAGTTTATTTCCTCAACTTTCAGTTAGAACGAGCGACCACGTGATTTGGACCCGATTTTATGCCCCTAATGTTTATCGTAACCACGTGCTGTGGGTTGGCAAAGCACGGGACACGCGCTGAGTTCCAGACATTGTGAGAGTTCGTCTATCGTCGCCATTGAAGCGAGTACAGACGAGCCACTACACGAATTCTTGTCCACTGCAGCAATCGATAATCGCGAGCTCAGATCGGGTGCTCACGTAATGCTCGAGTTCCTTCTATGAGCCTCATTCAAGTAGCGTCACTCGGGGATTATGCATAATTATGCCAACACTCCGACCTCCGAGCTACGTTATCAAGTTTTGTGAAGAAGAAATAGAAAGAAAATGTTCACATTTATCACGGAAATTACACCGCAATAAAATTCGGCACAGACACTTAAAACTGTGTACGTATAGGAATGCGAAAGCATTCGTACACGCAGCGCATTCATACAAGCAGCACGCCACATCTTCGTTTTGCACACGGCGATCCGGCGGTTACATCACGTTTCCTCACTGCTCAGGCGCTGCGAAGCGCGCCAGCTTTACGCCGACTTCCGTGACGAAGCATCTGCGTTGCTGTGCATTTCTTTGTGATTTATTAAGCACGGGAATTTAGGTTCGCTTTCGCTCAGCCAATCGGAATTTCGGTGCCGTTACGCTCAGCCAATGGAAACTTAGGTGCCTATTTTCGCGGCTACAGACAACGATAACGCCGGCTTCGCTGCATGGGGCAGTTAATGAAAGAATGTTCTGGGTTAGTGTCGTTGTGTGCGAGTGTACTTGAGTTCTACTAGTGACAATAAGCTCCTTCAAAATGAAAAAAAAAATTAGAAATTAATATCGCTGCACCGCCCTTTCAAGCCGCAGTTACACTGCTCGTACATAGCAAACAATAAAAAAAAAACAAAAAAACACGGTGTTCCCTGCCCACTTGGTGACAAAATTATCTGCGGATAAGCTTCAAGCATCTTCGAAGCATGTTGTGTTCGTGCATACGTATACACTTGGAACATGTCTCCAGACAGCTTTTGTGTGACAAATGTGACAATACCCTCATACGAGAAAAAAAGAAAACGCCTCAGATTGTGTTTGTAGTCTGTCTTTTGTGCAATGTATTGGCAGTGTGACTGCAGACTTCAACAGTACCGGCGGACCATTATCCGATGTTCTCGTGGGCGTCGCCATCTTGGTCTCTGTGCAGAGCGGGCGGCGCAACTGGCGGGCTTACGATTTGAAAGTACGGCTTCGACGTCACGCCACTGCGGTGCTGTCGGTACTGCGCATGCGCTGACGCTTTCTCTCACGCGAATTCGATTTCTGCGCACTCGCGGTGCGCACCGTTGGTGTGGGCAAGCGGGGGCTTGTTTGTATACAGAACGTTGGCGTACGCGATGTCAGAGATCTCGGGCGATAGTGTTTTGCTCTGAGGGGAGATTTCTGGATGTCAAAAACTCTTTTCCTTCGATTTCACAGAAAGTTTCGGATAACTGAAAACAATGATTCCAAGCATGACAATAGCTGAAGCGTCGTTTGTGTAAAGCGTAACTTCTTCGGTGGCTCTAAGGAAACCGTTCAAAACTTGTCGTTATTTTTTTATGCGATAGATTTTTGTAGCGAACTCTACGCAGTTTTGCGTCCAGGGGTCTCTTTGTAACCAACAAGGCAGGTCCCACGCGTCTGTTATATACTTACTTCAATGGTACGTACGGTGAGCAATGCTCCCAACGAATCAAATAGGATATATTAGTTTCTTCACGACTAATGCAGCAACAAAGGGTATTGCGTTTCTATAGATAATATGATTTGTAATATTTTGTTTCGTTTACCTAGTTACTTATACTGTAGGTACTTTTTAACCACGCTCAGCTATAACATGCGGGTCCTGGTTTCTTCGTCCTCCCAGCGCCCACATAGCAGGGGCCCTAAACTCGTCAAACACAAAGTTGGGGCGGAAGTTGAGGGAGCTCACCGATTGGACAATCACGGCGATGACTTGGCACTTTTGTCGCCAACATCCAATCGGCACGCTCCGCGAATTTTCGGCTCCAACTTTGTGTTTGATGAGTTTAGGGCCCCAGGTGTGCATGCAAGCACCACGCATACGCAGCTCAACTGACTTGTCAGACTGCGCGGTGTCATAGCGCACGTGCTACGGGTGCATTGAAAGTACGGAAAAACCACAACCCGCCTGTTATAGCCAAGTGTGATTAAGGGTATACGTGGAATATCCATACAGGTATGGGGCAATAAACATCTCACGCAAATACATTTCTACACAACGTGCACCAGCTAGATAGCATGCAGTTATAAAAAAAAGATTGCACAGTTTTTTTTATTAATTTTTTGCATAACTTATCTTTTCAGTAAGAAAGAAACCTTCTTGAATTACAGTCATGCTACAACAAACGTCGTTGATTACTCGCGAGAGGCCCGTCTGCTGGAATTAAATAGATTAAAAGATTATGAGTTAGTTCGAAATGTGATTGAAATCATAATAGACCTCACCAAAAAATATTCCTAAATTTCCACAGCTATTCCACAGCTAAGTAATTTATTAGTGAAACGTTTAGGCGGTACAAGACGGTGCAAAATTCTCTCGCGTTTCAGCCACAATCTAGGCAGTAATTTTGGCAATGTTTTTTTTTAACTTTTTTATTTAAGGGGTTTTGATTAAAAGTCAGTTGTGCCACCCAGATTGACCGCGTGGCATGCTTGAGAGATGGGTTCAACACCGGGGGAATCAATCGCTTTAACGGAAGCGCATTACCTCTGCTTCCCACTGCCGAGCTTAAAAGTCAACGTGAGGTGAGTGGGGGAAAAAGGAACTGTGTTTAGGATGCGAGATACAAGCAAGCTGCATTCCAACGGCGCAGTTGACGGTTGATAATTTTGTAAAAAAAAGGGTGCTTCAACCGATCGCGTTAAAGAAGAGTTCAAGTTCCTGCTGTTGCAACAACAAAACAAAACATTCTTAATTTTGGGGGAAAATTATTCATTTTGTAGTTGCGTCTTACATTCGTTCTGTTTTTTTATATATTTTGTTTCGTCATTATTACAATATACGCATTACATTAAACGTTTTGTTACAAGAACACAGCCATTACCCTTTTTAGCAAAACGATTCGGGCTAACCAAAACCGTCGCCTCAGGCACGCTTTTGGTCAAGCACTTTGTCAATTGACTTTGGAACTCGGAGTCACAGATGCATATAAAGTGGTACTTCGGAGAGTTGTGTTTATTCCCCTACCCTGGGGCGCAGAAGTGTGCACGGACGCAATTTGCGGGGATCGGTCATAATTTTAATTCATTAAACATCCGGAAGTTAGTCAGCCTCAATGGGCGTCCGGTAGCTCTCAGTTGTAGATAAAAAGGTAGCCATGCAGTGCAGTGCAGCCGCTACTGCACAATCTTTAACGTTCATCATGCAGCAGTGATACAGGACCGCACGCCGGTAAAATGCTCATCCAGTTATGGAAGCGGTCAGGGATGGCGACTGAACCTAGGACCCTGGGTTCTGCAGCGCCAGCTTGCGCTGCATGCGCTCCCGAGCTGCAATACCTTAACACACTCGGGCACCGACCCGCCCCTGGGTCAATCGTACAGACGCTTTAAACACGCCAGATTGAGCCGGTATTGCCGACTTTCTATTGTCTTACTAAGGTGCCGAGCCACTGAAGCGGGAGTTGACGAGTTTCCACAAAGGCCCATGCTGGGGAGAAGGACGCAGTAACACCTAAAATGGCAATAACCTGTCCTGCTGTGGCGATGATGAAGTAAAGCGAACGGCATAAGAGGAAACAAAAACGGAAGGTCGGTTATGGCGGCGCCCATGCACAGCTGCCTGAAAACGTCTATACAAGGGGATTTTGCGTGGGTGTCTGATATAGATTCACTTCGACGATTAATTGTTTGACATGTCGTTTGCGAAAGGTATATCTACATGGACGTTGTTCATTACAAGATCGTGGCTTCTGTATCGCTCTGCTGCCATTATATTTCCCCACTATACGTCAGACTTGTACTGATGATGGCTGGTGATATCTGAGACTAGAAAAACAAACGGTCGCACTGCGATATTTCGCACTTCGTTGAGGCATCTGCAAGATAAGTGAGGATACCATAGGATCTCGGTGGCTTCGCACTTGCTTGTAATCCTTTAAGACCAGAATATAGCCATCGTTTCATTTAGAGGAACGAACTATAAAAGAAAAGAACTAACAAGATCCAATGGCTCTTTTATTAATTTGAATCTCGAAACAGTCTTTCAGAGTTTTAAGCAGTCTATCGCACAGGAAGCGCATGTTCAGTCGCCTCATTGCTCTTGGGAGCAAAAAAAAAAAAAAAACGAACAAGATTAAATGGCTTTTTTATTAATCTGAATCTTGAAACAGTCTTTCTGAGTTATTTAAGCAGTCTATCGCGCAGGAAGCGCTTGTTCAGTCGCCTCAGCGCTCTTGGGAGCAATGAACACTTTGAAAACACTCCAGCTGGGATAAAATTCTCTTTTCGGGCAGATCCGTGGATGTTCGAATATATTTTTGTATTTTATTTCCTGAGTCCTTGAGGACATGCGAGTCAAAGCAATGAGAACTCTCGCTTTACTAATATGGACTCAATACATAATCCTATTGAAAGAGTCTATTCAGCGAAGTATGTAGAACTTTTGGTTTGGTTACTTACTCGAAGGAATTTATAAGGATCATTACACAAAGCTGCTGAAAAATGTGTATAAATATTTCA